GTGGTTTCTTGAACTGGATGAAGTGGGCGAGCTCATGTCGTAGTTCAAATACTCGAGAGAGAACTTTGCTTTTGGACAAACAGCGTATATCAGCATGCAGTATGAGTCGTGTGTGCTCAGCACCCGCATCTTCACATAATGCTGCAAATAACCTTAAATTCAGTGCGTTGGCCTTCACATGATTCACAATTTTCACAACTTCACTCAGAATTGAGTTTAATTCGGATGACATTTTCTTAATGGCTAGATTTTCTCTGTGAATTATACAGTGTGTTGATTTACAATCCGGGGCCACTGCTTTAATCTGGGCTATCACGCCGGAATGACGTCTTGTCATCGTGCAGCTCCATCTGTACAGACGCCGACACAATTTTGGAAATTCAAATCGAATTTTCGAACTATGTGGTCGCTCAAACTCTTGAACACTTCTGTACTAGTTGTGCTAGTTGGTAACGAATCAGAAAAAGGTACTCCTCCTTCAAATCTCCTTTGTATTCATAACGCACAAAACTATAAGAATCGCCTTATTTGCAATATCAGTACTTTCATCGAGCTGTAACGAATAATACTTTGACGATTTAACTGGTGTTATGAGGTGATCTTCCATATCTTCTGTCAAATCGTGGATGCGACGTGCAATAGTGTCGTTTGACATTGGAACTTGGGATACTTTCTGTGCCACTGCCTCGCCCAGCATTTCTTGACATACGTCTTTAATACAGCCTATCACGAGTGTCTCCCCAACTGTAAACGGCTTCTTTGCCTTGGCAATACGAAGAGCAACCATATATGAAGCGCGCAGCGCACAAGCAGTTACGCGTGTCAAATTGAGCAGTTGTTTCTGGGATGATTTCAAATTATCATACTTCCTTTCAAAGAACTCTTGCGGTTTTGAAACCAATTCGCCATGTTTGCCATTTTGATGCCTCTTCAATTTCGAGGGTTTCATGGCGTCATTGCTCAAGATTTCACCACAAATCACACACTGTGGTTTTTCCAGTTCATTTTCATCCATGGCACAAAATCCAAACTGAATGTATGAGCAGTCATATTTTCGAGTGTAGCTAATTCGATTCAAACTTTTCGACGGTGGTCCAATTTCA